GTTTTTAAGATATTTAAGCTTAAAGTCAAGAAAACTTTTACTTAGAAAAAATTTGTTCTTTTTCTACTGACTCACCCCCATATGTTAGTGTTTAGTAAATTTAATAAGTTTTGTTTTAAAAAAAATAGTTTCTATGAAAAATGCACAAATTGTAACAGATATAACATACCTTTGGCTTGGTATCAAGCATGTGATTCTCAGAAGACAACACAAGAATGAACAAGTGAAAATAATAATATTAATGATTACATTAAAGCATTTTAGCTTAAAGTTACAAAATAAGAAGATATATAAGTTGAAATAAGAATGTTAATAATTACATTAAAGAATTTCAACTTAAAGCTACATTTTATGAATAGATTCTTTTTAGTAAATTAGTTAATGTTTAAATAATTAGTAAAGAGCTTGGTACTATATTTTTCACAACATGTTTAGATGATAAAAAAATAACTTTATCTACTTTTTTAATGAATATACACAATTATATATATTATTATGTATAGTTGCTAAACTTTACCTGGTTTGCAAAAGAATTTTTTAAGAAAAGTAAGTTAAAATTATATTTATTTATGATTTAATATAGATCAATTATTAATATTATAAATTTTATTTAATAAGTTTAAAAATTACACAGAATTTAGATTAATGAATAATAATCTTGAAATGTATAGACTGACCCAATACACAATTAATAATAAATATTTTTTGGTATTTTAATATGCAAATAGAGAAAGTTTTTATAATTTCTTAACTTTAAATTTTAGAGAACTTAATTGAAAAGTAAATTAAAGCAGCTTGTCAATATATTTAAAAATTTAATAAAAATGCATAAAGCAAAATATGTTTATAAAGATTTTTATAACAGTAATATATAGCAAAATTAACATATTAGCAGAGATCTAATATTTTATAAAGTTATTTAAAAAAAAGAATTATTTTGATTTAAAAGATAATATTTATAGATTTTATTTTAAATTGCATCTGAAGTATTAAAAAACAACTATATATTAAAACATGTAATGAATTACATTCTGAATTTGCTAAAAGCACCTCCAAGTGCTATATATAACTAGCAAATAAATATATAAATACTAATCCTCTTATAGACTAACTGCATCTAATATTTATAATAAATTAACAAGATAGTATAAGATATTAAATAATAGTAGTGAAGAAAATAAATATGAATTGGTAATATTAAAAGTATTTCAGTCTGCAAATGCAATCATTTCAATATTATCAACCAAATTGCCAATTTTTCTAAAGAAAAATTTACAAGCAAACTGCTTAATTTTAAAAACCTTTTTAAGTCAATTAATTCTTCATAATAATTTAAACTTATTATAAAATATTCAATTTTGATTAACAAAATTGTTGGTTTTAATTTTTTTTTAATATTAAGATGAGTACTTGTAATCTAGAATTTTATTGATAATATATTCAACTAATAGTTATATTACAATTATAAAAGAAAAATATGAAAAGAATGTTTTGTATAACTTTAGTTATTGTCTAATTTAAGTAATTTATCAAAAATTTTATATTAGCTATTATATCTAAAATCTGTTTACAAATTCTATTAAACATTTTGGTTTTCATATTTACTTACCTACTTATACTACTAACTATTTTAGTTATTATTATTGTAAATATGTTATAATTATTAAGTTTTTAAATTATTTACTTATATAAAAAATTTTAATTTTGTATTAAACTTTTTAAAAGCTTCCATATCTTATTTTATAATTGATTTAATATTAATATAAAAATTTATTTCTTTTAAATTTTTATAGTAATTTATATATAAAATTAAGAGATAACAATAAATAATATATAAAGATACTGACATCTAACTAGAATACAAGTAAATAGTTTAAAAACTTTTAGAATCAGAGTATTATAAATAGATAAAGCAGCAACTAAAGACAAAAATAATAATAACAAATCTTAAAAAGTTTTATAACTTAAATAGAAAAACATTAACAAAGAAGCTTGCTTGTTTAAATAAACAAAAAAAATGTATTATATAAATAAATAAAGATATTACAAATTTCTTAGAAGCAAGTAATCTAGTACAAGTATATATTATACAAATCTTAGTAAACAAGTATAAAGATATAATTAAAAATTTCTTAAAAACAAGTAGGGTTCGGAATGGGCCAGACTAAACCTGTGGGTTTGTGGGTTGGATGGGGTTTGGGTCAATACTGGGCTCAATATTTTGACCCATTTATAAAATGGGCCGGGTTTATACCAGGTTTATTAAATACTGGGTTTGGGCCAGGTTTTATAAACAGACCCGTGGGGGCCTACAGGGGCCCATTATAATTTTTATTAGTTGCATAGAAAAAACAAGTTTAAAACTAGATTAGCAAAAACTTTAGTTCGTAGTTTATTTAAATTCTTACTCATACTAATATAGATAACAATTATTTAATTAAGTTAATTGATTTGTTATTATAGTTAAGCTTATTTTTTAATAAATAAATTAAATACATATATTTTTTATAGGTTTTGAATTTTTTTAATTTCTTGTGTTTAAAGGCACTATTTCAAACTATAATTTTTATAATACACAAATAAAAAAAACGTGTAAAAGTAACATATTAAAAAATCTTACATGCTTTTTTTTTTTTTTAAAAAAAAAACGTGATATTATGTTAAACGAACAAACCTTTTGGTCTACTACATAGTTTTTTTATTGAAACAATTACTATAACGCTTATAAGTAAATATGACTTCGGTTATTAGTGAAAGTGAAGATATTGAAATAGCCTCTGCTGAAAATGAAAGTACTGAGGTTACTACTACTGAAAGTAATGAAACAATCCCTGCTAACAAGAAACGTAAAGTTGGAAACCTTCATTCATGGGTATTTAAGAAAGAACACTTTATTAAAGATGATTCTTTGCCACGTAAGAATTTAAATAATTAATATTTAGAAATTTTAATATGTATTTACTAATATTAATAATTATTAGCAAATAGCGCACAATGCATATATTGTAAAAAAAAGTTAAAACATGACAGTGATACAGGAACGAGCTCCTTGATTAGACATTTAAAAAATATGAAATATAAGAAACATCTTAAAAATGAATCACAACAAGAATTACAAGTTTCCCCATTAGGTATTACTGCTTACAAGTTTTCACAAGATGTAAGCCGTTAAGATTTGGCCCATATGATCGTTATACACAGATACCCATTTCACATGGTCAAGCATAAAGGGTTCTTAAAATTTGTAAATAATTTACGACCACAGTTTAAAGTAATGTGTGATAAAACTACTCGCGAAGATTGTAAAGATTATGTTACTAGTCTTAAAAAGAAAGTTAATATAATAATACAAGAAATTTCTGGACGTTTAAGTTTTACAACTGATCTATGGATCTCGAATCAAAATCTTGGATACATGGCTGTTATGGGTTTATATATTTTTAATATAAATTTTTATTTTTTTTTAATTATTTAATGATTACTATATTTCTTTATTAGCCCATTTTGTTGATAAGGATTGGAATCTTCGAAAACTAATCTTGGGGTTTAAATTAGTTCCTGCACCACATACAGGGGCCACTATTTGTAATACATTTTTTACGTGTCTTGAAGATTAGAATGTTGTGTCTAAAGTAAGTATTTAGCAATCCAGCAATTTTTTTTATAAGTAATTTGCTAATATTATTTTTATAGACATTAGCAGTTACTTTGGACAACGCGACTAGTAACAACGCTGCCATAAACAATATAAAGCACAAGTTAAATGAACAAAATATGCTTGTTGCAAATGGGGTCCTCCTGCATCAATGCTGTTGTGCCCATATATTAAACCTTGTAGTTATCGATAGACTTAAAGTAGTTAGAGACATTGTGAATATGGTAAGTAAATTGTTTAATATTTTTTTTTGAATTTTAATATAACATAGCCAACTCTCTCTAAACCGGGCCAGTTCCTGGTATATAAAATTATAGAGTATTATCATTTTTACTTTTGAATTTAGTAAGTATATGGCGAATTTTATTCTAAATGAAATTTTTTGGAGTAGAAAATATGCTATTGTAATCGATATAACATGCCTGGGGCATGAATACTTTCATTTGAATTGAGATTAATTGTGGTTTCATTTGGTTTGGTTTTTCTTTCATATGAAAATATGTGATTAAACCAACTATTAAGAATTTTCATGGTGAACCTAAGTCCATGGAGCCAGCACCAGCCTCAACCATGCCAATTAATAACACACTGCAACCAATTATAATTCAAACCTAATTGTAGAGAACCAAGAGCCACTACAACTCAACAAAGTAAGCGAAAACTCTTGAGCAAAACACCTAAAAACGAACCGAAACTATTAATAGGAAAAAATAATTAACTACAAACCAACACCAATGAAAAAGAAAAGCAAAAAAACACAAGAGAACCAAGAACAACCACGATATGAAAGGTAGGCAAAAAAAATAGTTAACTGACGAAAGTTCATGAGGTCCATAGTTATTGTTTCTATTTCTATGAAGAAGAGGTAGCCAACGAACCTGCTCATATTTGTATTAAAGGCTGATTGCTATCTTTGAAATTTACTAACTGTCGAAAAAAAAAAGTTATTAAAAATCGCTACCAAGCATTTTAAAAAAAATGCAACTTTACGACACAGCGTAATTTACATAATTAATACATAAAAGTCCTTAACCAATCGGATAATTTGTTAGTAATTAAACTAATGACATATATATCTTAAGGAATTATAAATTATAAAATCGTAACAACCTTGGAATTTGACTATAAGAATTTGTTCAATACTTAAAAACGATTTCAGCATATATTAAACCTTGGTCGCAGATATAGATATAGTATTAGAATGAAAAAATGACATTTAAATAGCATTTAAAAATGGTAATTTTAAGGATTTTGGTACGAATGTGCTGTATGTATTTTTAACATTATTTAATTTTTTTTAAAAAATAGTAAATTATACTGAATGAATACTCGGTTCAGAATAAGAAAAAAGAAGCATTCGATTAGTAATTAAAAAATTGTTATTTGGTTGGAATTTACGAAGTTTTACTATATATAGCACCAGAAGTTTTACGGAAAAAAGCCATTTGCCAAACAACAAATTCATTCTTTAAGAATCAAAAAAAAAAGGTAAAAGAATTTATGAGATTTGTAAATAAATTTTATATTGTTAGTGCAGTATAACTAATATGATTATTTACAATAAAATATTATCTTTTAGTTCACTATAATAGGCCTGCCCGGTTTAAAGAGAGTTGATTTACTTACTTGCAATTAATGTTATAGATCCGAGATTGTGTAAAGTGAATTCACAGTTCGGAACGTCGACAACAAAACTTCGAGGATCTTGTAATTGAGTTTTGTAATAAACTTATTTCAACCCAGTGACCAGCCCTTGATGTGGTAACTCGCTGAAATTCGACGTACATAATGTTATCATCTACTATCCCCTACAGAAATGTATTTGAATGTCTCGTGTTTAAAGATGCTAGTTTTGAGCCAATTGCACCTCTTGACGATGAATGGGAAAAGGCAGAGAATCTCTGTAATTTTTTGAAACCATTTTATGAGAGTAAGTAAATGCTAAAATCGTTCATGTATTTTATTATGAACACAAATTAAATAGCACTACACTTTAATTAGTTACCAATATCATATCAGGAAGCTCCTATTCCACAGCAAATATTTTTCTTTCTCAATTGTTGAAAATTAGAATGCACCTCGAACGAAATGCTACTAACACGGATCCCTTTCTTTCTCAAATGATTATTCCAATGCAATCTAAATTTAATAAGTACTGGGCTGATGCAGGAGATATGCATTGCATTGCCTTGATGTCAGACCCTCGTTATAAGATATCGTTATTGATACATATATATAAGCAGAAGATGAACTTATCACATGTGGAAGCAGAAGACAAATTATCTTCAATTAAATCGAGGTAAAATATTATCTACACCAGTCAAAAAAATTGACATAGTGTTTATTAACTACCTCGTGATTTTGTGGAATGTCTGCAAAATCACATGATAGAATTTGCTTCGCGATACCTGAATGAATTTGTTTAACACTTTGCTTGCTATTTAATTTAAAATTTATCTACTATTATAGGGCTATGACTATCTACGATTTGACTTATAAACAGCATACAGTTGATACAGTAGCAAAAGATTTTTCTGACGTTTTCCAGGATGAAGAAATGCGAGATTTTTATGCCTATCTTGATGCCAATGAATCAAATGTTGAAAGAGAATTGAATGAATTTGAGCAATACTTAGCTAACCTGCTTTTTCTGCGTTCTCAATCAGAGTCATTCAACGTTCTTGCTTGGTGGAAATTAAATGCCCCAAAATATCCTTCAGTATCGGCCATGGCACGAGATATCCTCACGATTCCATTAACTTCTGTAGCATCTAAATCTGTAATAAAATTTAAGCTCAATTTATTGTCTATTTATTATTTTTAGTTTCAACTATAAACTAATTTATACTTTATATTTAGGCGTTTAGTACAGCTGGAAGACTTGTCGATGACTACTGGTCAAATCTTACTCCGGAATCAATTGAAATGTTAATTTGTAGTCAGGATTGGTTAAATGGTGTAGACGAATCAAGTTAGAATTAAAATGGCAATTTTTTTTTTCTACGTAATTTTTTTTCTTGCCGACCTTTTTTTTCTTAGTAGTCTTTTTTTTTTTTGGCAGCCTTTTTTTCTTGGCAGCCTTTTTTTTTCTTGGCAGCCTTTTTTTTTCTTAGCAGTCTTTTATTTTTTGGCAGCCTTTTTCTTTTCGTAATGCTCTTTTTTCAAGTAGAATTCTAGATCGACATATAAGACTTAGTAATAGAGCTTTAATTATAGACTATTCGATTATATGATCAATTAAAATAAGGCTTTTTTTTTAAACTTAAGTACTGAAGACCAGAAATATATTGTCATCAACCATTTAATATGACAGGTAGTTGATATATTTAGCGTATGTATTATTTATAACCATTAGAGAAATTAGTCGTTAATCTAAGTTTCACCTTCTAATCTGTATAATTTAAACTTTTACAATACAGATTTTTATTTTAGCCAATTAGAACAATTTTAATTTATATCCTTATTTATTCTAATCATTTTATTTATAAATTCTAGAAACAATTGAAATTGCTAATAACTAAAATGACGAATTTTTTGATACCACTTTTCAACTATTCCAGAATTTATCATAAGTAGCTGTAATTAAAATTTTATAAATGACGGGCCAGGTCGGGTTAGACTAAGACCGAGCCATAATTTGAGGTATCCCGGCCTGGCCCAAACCCGGTAACTTTCATCGGACCGGGCTCGGGCTTATAAAATTTTTATGGGCTCAGGATTAAATTTAAAGATATCCAGCCCGACCCGGCCCATTCCGAACCCTAAAAACAAGATTGTGGTTACACAAAGGAATGCAAATCGGCAATAAGTGGTGCAAACACTAGATAAGTCCTTGTGGCCATGTAAATCCGTTGAAATTGGGTAACAAGAAGTCCATTTGAGAAGACCCGAGTAGAGAGATAGCCAGATCTTCGATAGCCCTACTGTAAAGGCTAGCCTTATGAAATGGATACCAAGGTCGAAGTAGCCAGATGAGCAAAAACCTCTAGGTGGAGGGTATCACCAACCATCTAAGATGCAAAAAAATATTAATAAGCCAAATTGCATATATAAATAATATATTAATAATTCCTAAACTAGAATATTTTTTGCAATTAACAAAGATGTTAGAAAAAATTATTAACAAAATATACTAACTATTAATATATTTGGTAAAGCATAAATGCAATATGATAAGAACATTAAATAATTGCATAATTGAGTATAAAGACTTAAGAAATTATAAATCACTAAGTTAAAAAATAATGACAAAATAAATAAGCAGTCTTTTTTTAAGTCTTAATAGACAAGATAGTTTGAATAATCTAACAAGAATCAGAATAACTTAAAAATATCAAAAAACAAGTATAATAAAGGATATTTGAGATGATAAAAGTAGACCAGAAAAGAAGAAATATTAAAAAACAATTTGGCCTGCTAAATAATAATAAAAACAAAAAATATAAGAATAGATATTAAAGCAAAGAAGTGTTTGTAGAAAGTATATAGTTATAGTAAAAAAAAAAGACATAATAAGAACAAAGACATGAATAATAAGTAGTAGTACAATAAATAAATAAGGTTAATATATATGAATTAGCTTATAAATATAAAAGATAACAGCCTGATCACATAAAGACAACTTAAGAGTTTGCAAGAGCTATTATGTAAGAGTAAAAAAGCCAAGTGGTTTAGTAAAATAAAAAAAGAAATGCTAATAATACAAACAAGTAGAATAATATACAACTATTACAAGATAAGTAATTACAACTATAGACATTAAAGATTAAATAAACAAAAATATTAGAAAATTGAAGAAAGAAAAAATAATTTGTATATAAACTAAATCATAATTAGCAATTTAGCAAAATAAGCAAGAAAAAGAAGAAAAAAGTATTAGTTGAATACTGGCTAATACACAAAATAGAAGAAAAAATGTTTACAAAAATAAGCAAATATAAAGATTGTAAAGTCAAATTAGAA